CAGTGTCAAAAAGAAATGAAACTATTATTTTTTGAAGAAAATATAATGGTTGACTTAGAGAACCCTAGAGTCAACTAAAAAACTAGTTAGAAACAATTAACAATTTCAGCAAATTTTCGGGATATAAAAAAAAAACAACACAAGACACTTACTTTTCTGTACACTACCAAAAAATCCAGCATGAAGAGAGAAAAAGAAAAATTCTATTTCAAACAACTACCAAATGTAAGAAATACTTTGTTGTCTATCAAGACACACATAAGAACACAATGAACACAATAAATCACAAATACTCTTTACACAAAGAAAGTCATAATTAAATAACTGAAGAATCATTAATTAGTCATGGGTAGGATGAGCCAATATAATAAAAATGACAATGTAACCCAAATTAATTGATATTTTCAGTGCAATAACCATCAAACTACCAAAAAATTACTTTATAGAGCTAGAAAAAATAACAAAATTCATCTGGAGGGAAAAAAATGTCAAGAATATCAAAAGAATCAGTGAAAAAAAATGTGGAAAAAAGGGGTCTAGCAGTACCAGATCTCAAACTATAATGCAAAGCTGTAATCATCAGAATAATTTGGTATTGGGTAAGAAATAGAGATGTTAATCATTGGAATAGATTTTTTACATAAATATACAAAATATATATGTATTATATATGTATATATGATATATGTGTATATACACACAATTGAATGAGTGCATTGCCAGTGTTTAATAAAGCCAAAGAACTGAGCTATTGGAGAAAGAACTCATTATTCAATAAAACCTATTGGGAAAACTGGAAAGCAGTCTAGAAGAAATTAGACATAGACCCACATCTCACACTGTGTACCAAGATAAGCTCCAAATGGGTACAAGTGTAACATTATAAACAAAATAGCAAAATATGGGGGGGTGGGGAATCAGTCAGATCTATGTTCCTGACCAAACAAGAGATAGGAAGGTTCACAACAAGCAAAACTGATGATTTTTAACTACATAAAATTTAAAAGTCTTTACATATAACCAGTGTAGTTAAAATTAGATGACAAGCTGGAAATTGGGAAAAAACCATTGCCCCAAGTTTCTTTAATAAAGGTCTGCTTTTTAAGATATATACATAGAAAAGATAGTCATATTTTTATAAGAATTAGAATCGCTTCCCAACTTATATGATTAGGGAGTTTTCAGAGGAAAAATTTCAAGTTATCAATATCCATACTAAAAAGCACTCTGAATCAGTAATAATTAGAGAAATGCAAATTAAAACATCTCTGAAGTAACATCCTACACCAATCAGATTGGTTAAGTTGACAAAAAAGGATAATGACAAATGTTGGAATAGCTGTGGGGAAACAGGTTCTTTAATGCATTGCTGGTGATGCTGGGAACTGGTTCAACCATTCTGGAAAGCAATTTGAAATTATACTCAATTGGGAAAAGAAATAAGAGTGATGCAAGAGAATCCATGAAAAAAAAAATAGTCAACAGCTTGGAAAAAGAAAACAACTCTAATACTATTTTTGCTCAGCTGAGGAATAGTAGATTTTGATCTGACCCCTTATTTTAACTCTGTGTGAGTCTTTTATGTTTCAAGTGTGTTTCTTGGAAGTGACATATTGTGGAATTCTGCTTTCTAAATCATTCTGCTAACCCCTTCCATTTTATGGGTGAGTTCATCCCATTCATATTAATAGTTATGATGGTAAATTGTTTATTTCCCTCCATTCTATTCACTTATACTTTTTTCTTCTCTACACTCCTTATTCCTTCTTTATTTCAAGTTGTTGTCCTTTGTTTCTTCCCCCTTTCAAATATCTCTGCATTTTAGCATTTGTTTTCTTACAATTAGTCTCTCCCCAAAGTCTATCCCTCTTGTATTCTCTTTTACTCTATTCCTCCTATCTATGTCCCTGGTGTATTAAATATGTTTCTACATCAAACTGTGTTTGTGTGTGTCTGTGTGTCTGTGTGTCTATGTGTGCATGTGTTCTGCCCTCTCTTAACTAGTTAAAATGAAAATGAAATTCAAGTGACAGCTGATTCTCCCACTCCTTCTACATTTGTATGGAGTTTTACTTATGCAACTCAGTTAAGTATATTAACACATTTCCCATCTTTTCTCCTATTTTCTACTAATGTATCCTTCCTCTCTCCTTCCTTTTAAAAATAAGTTTATTGATATCTTCTCTCTCTTACATCATGGTAACTGCCCCAAGTATCTCTTCCTCTACCAGAGAGCCATTTTATATGGCAAATAGTATTTTTAGAAAGAAGAAATTAGTTCCTCTTGAAAACTATTTGTTCAGAACATTTAATCATTAATTTGATTAAAAATATATCTCCTACTCATAGCTGTGACAGATATATGATCTGCTTCTCTTCTAATTTTTTATAGTATGGTCTTTAATATTAAGGTCACAAATTTATTTACTGTGGAATACGGCATAAGGTGTTGCTATAAGCCTGGCTTCTACCAGACTACTTTCTAGTCTTCCCAGATCTTCCCTTAATCAAATAAGGAATTTTGCCTAGATAATTTATGTTTTCCACTTTATCAAACACTGCTACTTAGTTCTATTGTTTCTGAATTTCCCTTGTTCCCCTTGTCCCATTGATCTGTCTTTCTATTTTTTAACCAATACCAGATAGTTTTGAAAACTGCTGTTTTATAATATGGTTTGAGGTCTGGAAGTAGTATCCCATCACTTCATCTCTAAATTTTAAAAATTCTTCTCATAAAGGGCCCTTTCTTAGGCATAATTTTCATGATAATGTGGTCAGTTAAAAACATGTTTAATACTTCTCTCTTTTTTGCATTTTTTTTAGGTTTTTATGCCCGAATGTATGATGGGGAGTTTTATAAAAATGCCATGTAATACTGAGAGAAGTATGATTCTTTCTATTTTTGTTGACTTCTCATCAGAGATCTGTGATATATAACTTTTCTAAAATTTGATCCAGGTCTTTGACTACTTGCTTGTTTATATTTTAGTTAGATTTGTCTAGAGCTTAAGGGGCCCATTGAGGTCTCTTGAAACAATAAGGTCTAGTTGAAGCAACAAGGCACCCTGATAATGAAAAAGGGAGTGGCATGTATCAGGCAAATCAAATTGCTACCACCTCAACATTCTCTCAGGCCCTGATGGAAACAGCCCAAGACCCTCAATCCAAGAGTCCTAGAAATGAGTGCCCACCAGATGACCACTCCTGCTTCAAGCCTGGCCTTTGTAAGCATCACTGAAGGTAATAATCCCTGTGGAGAAAGGGGCAAATATCCCCAACAACTGTAAACCAACTACAACTCACAGGGAAGGCAAGCCAGCCTGGCTGAAGCAGTGAGGCACTCTGATGGTGATATAGGTTGTGCGGTGAGTAAGATGCCACAATGAGGCACATTTTCTCTCATCAGGATAACAGTTTATTAACATGTATGTGACACATATAGCTGTTAATAAAGTGGGTCAAGACTGGCTTCCTCAATTAGGACAGCAACTACAAAGAGATGGGGGAAAACCTTTTTATTGAGAAATAGGAAAGGAGGAGTTCTGGATGGTTGAACAATGTCATAATTGGCTACAGCTGGGAAAGGTGGGTTGGTCTTCAGTGTGGATGATCACACCCTTCTGACAATTAAGGAATGTCAATTGCTTTATTGGCCTCAGCTACATCTAGTAATTTTGGCTAGAAAAGCAGATCTTCAATCAGGACCATCCAATTAGTGCTACCCTTGGGGGAAATCAAACCACCCCTAATTTTACCAGGAGAGACAAGGGCAGAAGAACTGTTCCTTGGGGAAAGGCTCAGCCTAAACTGGTTTCTATTTATAAGTAAACAAAACAGATGTCTCAGGAGCAAGTTGAAAGGGAATGACAACATTATTCAACCATGCCTTTGATTTGGACTGGGAGAGATGACCATCAACCTCACTTTTAACCTGGTCCCGCAGCCATCACTGAGAAGGTGCTCACTTTTATGACCAGCACCAACACCATCCACTTACCAACTGGCACCAATAAGCAATTAAGTCCAGGAACTCTAAGAATGGCAATACTCCTCAGATTACCAATCCTGATATCAACCTAGCCCAACTATCATCTTGGGAAGCATTCCCTTGGAGATTTAAATTGCTTCTGCAGGTGCCGAAGCCACTGCCTCCTCAACAATCACAGCCTGGCCCACAGCCTGGCAAATGAAGAGCCAAAAAAAAATTAAGTTTTTAACAATAAAGTCCTTGGCATTACCAAATGATTTAAAATGGCCATGTCATCAACCTGATGTGGCTGGAACCTATTTGTATTGTCCCCCTCAATAAAATGTAAGTTTCTTGAGAACAGGGACTGTTTCCACTTTTTTATTTGTATTTCTAGCACTTAGTACACTGCTGTGTGCATACTAAGCATTTAGTAATTTTTCATCTACTTATTTATTCACTCAATAGTTTTAAGAAATTCTGAATTAGTGGTGACTGAATTAACATTATTATTTTGAAATTTTAATTATTGCTTATAAACATGTATGTGCATGGATCAGTGTAAGTTAGGTAGTAAAAGTCTGTGCGGAGTGACAAAAATATACCCTCCATTTGGTGCCACTGTCATTCACTATTTTTTCTTTTTACGGAAGTTGCAGCAAGAAAGTAAGAGATTATGGAGGCTATATTAGAGTCCCAAATCCCAGTTGGCAAAGAATGTGAGTGACATTTCTCTATAATCTCAGACCCTGCCAAGTGCTTCCAGGGATGGAAAATTCAGACTAGGGGAACCTATTCTGATGCATACCAACCTCAAGAGCTCTATCTTGGGAACAGTTTGCTCCTACATGTGTAGGGATTCTTGGGAATACTGAAGCATTGTAAGGGCTAGAGATATCCAAATACTTGCTCTGATTTTTTTATTTCTGGAAGTGAACCTTCCAGAGGTACCCACAACTTGACTCACTGAGGGACAGACAGAAGTGGATAAAACACACATTCATTAGCCCAAGAAAAGTCTATGGATACCTACCTGATTTCCAAAAACATACAAAAAATGAGTCCTAGGATGGAAAGCCATTCCAATAACAGTATGAAAATCACTAGGGAAAAAAAAAGTTGGAAATCTCAGAGCAGTCTTCGGACTCTTGTTTAGGAATTTCCTTGCAGCAGCAAAAGAATTATTCTAAAAAAAAAAAACAAAAAGGAAAAGTCATGGAGATTTTTCTATCATTTTGATCCATACTTCACTTCATTCCCTCAAGGATATCTTATCATTCCACAGAGGTTATCCTGGGTTCTTAAAAAGCTATGATAGCAGAGTATAAACTCTAGCAAGTCCTATCAATTTGGAAGGTTTTAAATATTGCTACATCATTCAAGGACACCCCTAAGTGTAGTGACACTATGTGTGTGGTCAGAAATTGTTTTTCTTCAGCTACACAATTCATGAAACTATTCACTAAGACACAGAGAGCTTGTGATTTATGTTAGTGGAAGCATATTTCTTTAAAATTATTTAACAAGGGAGCAGAGTCAAGGTATCAGACTGAAACCAGAATTTTTCCTGAGTTCTCCTAACACACCCCTACAAACAACAACTAAACACACACCAAACCAAATTGAGTGAAAAATCTAAGAATGCTGAAAAAACTGAAAACCTATATGAAAGCATTCAACAAAGTGTAGATTAAAAATAGATTGGAAACTAAATAACCTAATCCTACAGAATTTGTAGGACAAAAAAAATCATAGAAACAATCAATAATTTTATTAAAGATAATGACAACAATGAGACAACAGAGGGATTCACAAAAGCTAAAATGGGAAGTTTTGATTACATATAATTAAAAAGTTTTTGTACAAACAAAAACAATGCTGCTAAAATTAGAAAAAAAGCAGAAAACTGGAAAATTTGCAGCATTTCTTTGATAAAGGTCTCATTTCTCAAATATATAGGGAACTGAAACAAATTTATAAAAATAAGAGCCATTCACCAATTGATAGTGCTCAAGGAATATAAACAGGCAGTTTTCAGAGGGAAAAAAATCAAAGCTATTAATAGTCATATGAAGAAATGTTCTAAATCACTAATAATTAGGGAAATGAAAATTAAAACAACTGTGAGCTACCACCTCACACTTATCATATTGACTAAGATGACAGATGTTTTTGCATTGTGGTGCTGATGAAAACCTTTAGAGTCCGCTGGACAGCAAGTGGGTCAAATTAGGCAATACTTCAAGAAATTAATTCAGGCTATTCACTAGGTCAAATACTGAAGCTGAAGCTGAACTATTTTGGTCACATACTAAGAAGATGAGATTCATTGGAGAAAACCTTGATATTGGGAAAGACTGAAGGTGAAAGTAAAAGGGAACAGCCAGAGAGGATGAGATGTAGTATTATGATAGTTTCCGTGATGGTATTGCAGAAACAACATACCTGAACTTAGACTTCAAGAAACTGTGTAGGATAGAAGGGCCTGGCATGCTACAGTCAATGGAGTCAGTCACAGAGTTGGACATGGCTGAATGACAACAACAATAACAAAGATGACAGAAAAGGAAAATGACAAATGCTAGAAGGTGAGTAGGAAAATAGGTATACAATGTAAGGTTGGTAAAGCTATAAAGTAGTCTGATGATTCTGGAGAACAATTTGGAAATTTTCCCCAAATCTACAAAACTGTGTATACCCTTTGACTCAGCAATAATACTGCTAAGTCTATACCCAAAAAAATAAAAGAAAAAGGAAAAAGATCCATACGTAAAAAATATCTATAGCAGCTCTTTTCATAGTGGCAAAGAACTGGAAATCCAGGGGATGCTCATCAGTTGGGGAATGGCTGAAGTAGTTATGGTATATGAATGTAATGGGATACTGTTGGGCTGTAAGAAATGATGAAAGGGATAGTTTCAGAAAAACCTGAAAACCAGTGTTAACTGTTGAAAAGCGAAGTGAATAGAACCAGGAGAACAATTTATACAGCAACAGCAATATTGTAAAAATAATCAACTCTAAAAGGCCTAGTAACTCTGATCACTACAATGATCAACCACAATTTCCAAAGGACTCATGAAGAAAAATGCTATCCACCTCCAAAGACAGAACTGATGGACTCAGAATGCAGATTGAAGCATATTATTTTTCTCTTTCATTCTTTTTCCTGAGGAAAATATGATTGATTGGAAATATATTTTGCACAATTTCATACATATAATAGATTTTATATTTCTTGCTATCTCAATGGGTGAGGGAAGGATGAAGGGGAGTGGGAGAATTTGGAGCTGAAAATAAATGCAAAGTTGGACTTTTAAAAATGTAAAAATTTATGAATAAAATTATTTAACATTCCAAGGAAAGTATACTAAGCTTAAGATGGGGAAATGTCATGTTTTGTCCAATGCACCCTACATTTATTACTCTCTCTTAGGTCATGACTTAGATTAACTGTACCTAACCCCAAAATATAACAAAAAAAGTCATGAGATTTCACATTTTTTCTTATTTTTATTTCCACTACCATCACCATCCAAACACACATATAATAGGACAGAAATGCTTGCTTATGCCACTATTACAAAATAATCATCTCAATACAAAAATAAACTCCTGAATCTGAAATTTTGCTTTTAAATCTCTTTCCTGTTATCGATTAATTTGTATTATTTTAATATGAATTTATTTATTTTAGTTTTCAACATTTACTTCCACAAGATTTTGAATTCCAAATTTTCACCCCATCTCACCCTTCCCCCCACCCCAAGATGGCATTCATTCTGAATACCCCTTCCCCTAGTCTGCCTCCCTTCTATCCCTTTCCCCCACTTCTCTTATCCCCTTCCCCTTCTATTTCCTGTAGGGTAGGATAGATTTCTGTACCCCACTTCCTGTATTTCTTATTTCCCAGTTGCACGTAAAAACATTTTTTTTAAACATGTGTTTTTAAAACTTTGGGTTCCAAATTTTCTCCCTTCCTCCCTGCCTACCCACCCTCATTGAAAAGGCAAGCAACTCAATACAGGTCATACATGTGCAGTTATGCAAAACACTTCCATAGTAGATGCACTGTGAAAAACTAACTCTACTTCCCTTAATCCTACCCTGCCCCCCCATTTATTCTATTCTTTCTTTTCACCCTGTCCCTCCTCAGAAGTATTTGCTTCTGATTACTCCCTTTCCCCCTGCTCTCTTGTCCCCTTCCCCCACCATTTTCCTGGAGGGTAAGACAGATTTCCATACCCAATTGAGTGTGTATGGTATTCCCTCCTTAAGCCAAATCCTATGAGAATAAGACTCCCTCATTCCCTCTCACCTTCCCCCATTTCCCCTCCACTGTAAGAGCCTTTTCTTGTCTGTTTTGTGTGAGATAATGTCCCCATTCTACCTCTCCCTTTCTCCTTTTCCTAGTATAATCCTCTCATCCCTTAATTTTATTCTCCAGATATCACCCCTTCATCTTCAACTCACCCTGTGCCCTGTCTGTCTATCTATTTATTTATCTATCTGTATGTATGCATATATATATATATGTATATATATATATATAATATATATATATATAAATATATATATATATAATATATATATATATATATATATATATATAATTTTTATATTATATATATGCATACATATAATTTTTTCCCTCTAACAACCCTAATACTGACAATACTGAGTTATAAATTTCATCTTTCCATGCAGGAATATAAACAGTTCAACTTTAATAAATCTCTTATGATTTCTCTTTCCTGTTTACCTCTTCATGTTCTACTTGAATCTTTTATTTGAAAGTCAAATTTTCTATTCAGCTCTGGTCTTTTCATCAAGAATGCTTGAAAGTCCTCTATTTCACTGAATAACCATTTTTTCCCCTGAAGGATTATAATCAGTTTTGCTGGGTAGGTGATTCTTGGTTGTAATCCTATCTCCTTTGCCCTCCAGAATATTATATTCCATGCCCTGCGGTCCTTTAATGTAGAAGCTGCTAAATCTTGTGTTATCCTGATTGTGTTTCCACAGTACTTGAATTGTTCCTTTCTGGCTGCTTGTAATATTTTCTCCTTGACCTGGGAACTCTGGAATTTGGCTACAATTCCTAGGAGTTTTCCTTTGGGGATCTCTTTCAGGAGGAGATCTGTGGATTCTTTCAATTTCTATTTTGCCCTCTGGTTCTAAATATCAGGGCAGTTTTCCTTGATAATTTCTTGAAAGATGATGTCTAGGCTCTTTTTTTGATCATGGCTTTCAGATAGTCCAATAATTTTTAAATTCTCTCTCCTGGATCTATTTTCCAGGTCAGTTGTTTTTCCAATGAGATATTTTGCATTGTTTTCTAATTTTTCATTCTTTTGGATTTGTTTTACATGTCTTGATTTCTCATAAAGTCACTAGCTTCCAATTGCTCTATCTAATTTTTAAGGAAGTATTTTCTTCAGTAATCTTTTGGACTTCCTTTTCCATTTGGCCAATTTTGCTTTTTAGGGCATTCTTCTCCTCATTGGCTTTTTGGACCTCTTTTGCCATTTGGGTTAGGCTATTTTTTAAGGTGTTATTTTCTTCAGTATTTTTTTGGGTCTCCTTTAGCAAGCTGTTGACTTGTTTTTCATGATTTTCTTCATCACTCTCATTTCTCTTCCCAGTTTTTCCTCTACTTCTCTTACTTGCTTCTCAAAATCCCTTCTGAGCTCTTCCAAGGCCTGGGACTGATTCATATTTTTCTTGGAGGCTTTGGATGTAGGAGCTTTGACTTGTTGTCTTCTTCTGGTTGTATATTTTGATCTTCTTTTCACCAAAGTAAGATAATATAGTCTGACTCTTTTGAGTTGCTCATGATCCCAGCCAGCCAATTACTTGAGTTTTAAACTCTTTGTTAAGGTAAGAGTCTGCTTCCAGTGTGGAGAATGTACTGTCCCAAGCTTCGGGGGTTTGTTTTCAGAGATACTTCTAGGGATCTATAAATTTTCAGTTCTTCTGATATGTGGTATGATAAGGGGCGAGGTGTTTACTCCTTTCCTGGCCTGTGCTCTGGTCTGTGAGGAGAATTTCCTCTCCCCAGTCACTACAGGCTCCACCACGCCAGCATTCCTCCTCAACTCAGGACCACCACCCAGAACTGTGACCCAGATCCAAGCACGGGCAAAGCAAGAAATTCCTGCCTCAGCACTGGCAAAGAGATCCCTGCAACTCCCCTCTGATCAGCCACCTGATTCCCCCTCAGTCTGTAGGCTGGAAGCTCAGGAGGCAGCCACCTCCCCCGGGCCGAGCTCCTCGAGGAATGGGGCTGAGACTCTGCGCTCTTCTCACTGCAGAAACAGGCTTTTCCCACTAACCTTCTAAGTTGTCTTTGGCATTCATGGGTTGAGAAGTCTGGAAACCACCCCAGCTACCTGCGATTCAGTCCTCTGAGGCCTGCTCCAGTTTCACTGAGGCCTGTGTGCCCATGCACTCCTCTACCAGGCTGGCGCGATATACCATTCTGAGCAACCATCCAGGTTGTCTAGGGCTGGAAATTGGTTTCATTCTGTCTTTTTGTGGGTCCTGCTGCTTTAGAATTTGTTTAGAACCATTTTTTTTAACAGATATTTGGAGGGGTTTGGGGGTGAGCTCAAGCAAGTCACTGCTTTCACTCTGCCATCTTGGCTCTGCCTCCTAATTTGTATTATTTTGATTAGACTAAGATAAGAAGGCTTTGATGCTAACCAGGGCCATAAAAATTAGAGGCCCTTTCTAAGTGGTCTTTGTAGGACATAAACCATTCCAGCTCAGTCACTCTTGAAATTTTTTTTTCCCCCACCTTTAAAAACCCGGTAGGACTTGACTCTGGTCCTCCAGGATAATCCTAATAGTTGGAATATTTTTTTTCTAAAGTGTCCTAACCGCTGTGTGACACTTTTATGAGTGCCTAAAAAGAGAAATGATGATTGCTGTGAGCCAGAATAGGTTTAACAAGAAGAAATTACATCCGTTTACTTTTTTGATGAAGTTGCAAAATCAGAGGAATAGCATGAGCAGAGAATATTTTGATTTTATGAAGGCTGCTGATAGTTTTCCATATCCTTATGGACAAGACAGAGAGCTCTGGACTGAATCATAGTATATTCAGATAGATTTGCAACTGGTGGGTTTCCCAGCACTTAGCACAGTATCTGGCACATTGTTGTTCAGTTGTATCTGACTCTTTGTGACTGAATAGACTTGTTATGGGGTTTTCTTGGCAAAGATACTACAGTGGTTTGCCATTTCCTTCTCCAGTATGTTTCCATTTTACAGAGGAAGAATTGAGGCAAATGGGGTTAATTAAGTGACTTGCCCAGGGTCACACAGCTAGTAAAGGTCTAAGGCCAGATTTTAACTCATATCTTCCCGACTCCACATCCAGTGCTCTATCCACTGCACCCCCTAGCTGCCTGGCACACAGTCGGTGCATAATAAATGTTTATTGACTGAATGATTGGAATGACATGATAATATAGATGAGAAATACAAGACACAATCAAAAGATAAGAAGAATTAAATATTAACACGATGATTGTGATGATAATATTCTTTAGTACTTCATGGATTGATTTCATCAATGAAAATATCTACCCAAAGTTTAAGGTAGATGGTGGTCAGGTAGATAGTAAGTTGTTTATGGCTACTTTCCCTCTGCCTGGCTACCTTCTGAATATGAGCCACTCTAAATTTAGCTAGAATTCTTCCTAAATGGCACACACACAATTCATCACCATGCCCCTTTCTAGCTTGGTAATGCCTACTCAAGTGTGTGCTCTGCTGTCATACATAGCTGTTGAGGTGGCAGGGTCAGTGCCATGCCATAATGAAGGACAGGTAGAATTTAAGTGAAGGGATAATGATAATAATAACACAGACCTGAAAATATCCTGTACTATTCCTTCAATAAACTGAACTTGAACCAGACTACTGTCACAGACAAAGTCCATCATTACCCTACCCAGGTATAGCATACATAGATTCATAAAACCTTAAGAACATTTTAATATATGTCACCATCCCAAATCATCATCATCTCCAGGCTATATGGAACATAAAACTTTTCAGTTACAGAGACTTATCAAAGGAGATCAAAATCATGGAGGAAGGAGTTGTTGTCCTGTCTGCTAATAGAGTTGTATTGAGGATCTTTTCAATAAGTCTATAGGGGAGATAAGTTTATATTATAATGTTTCTATTCAACCACATAAAGCTATTATTTTAGCCACCCATGCAACAGTCCTTAGAATGGTTAAATATTAGAGAATAGCAGGATAGTGACTTGCCTCCAGATGATTTCTATATGAAACCTACTGGGAAAAACAATGAGAAGAATGAGATTGTGGTGATGAAGAGATTGAAAAGAAAACTTTTACAGGATAATAATAATAACAATAATTTTGTTGTTGAGTCATTTCAGTCATGTCTGACTCTTCATGACCTCACTTAGGACTTTCTTGGCAAAGATAGTAGAGTGGTTTGCTATTTCCTTCTTCAGCTCATTTTACAGATGAGGAACTGAGGCAAACAGGGTTAACTGACTTACCCACAATCTCACATCTAGTAAGTTTCTGAGATTGGATTTGAAATCAGGAAGATGAGTCTTCCTGACTCCAGGCCTAGCATTCTATCCACTGTACCACCTAGCTAAATAATAATTATTATTATTAATTGATTTACATTTAGACAGGACTTCACTCACAATAAATGTGATCAAAGACTGATGGTTTAAATATTATTATTCCCTTTTTACAGGTGAGGAAACTGTGACTCATAAAAGAGAAGTGTTTGCTTCTGGTCACACAGTAAGGAAGTGAAAGAAATGCGATTTAAATCTTGATCTCCTCGGTACAACAATATAGTGTGTTAAGTCTTACAAAATATTTTCTTTATAAAAACCATGAGGTGGGTATTACAAATTTATTGTTCTCATTTTAAAGATGAGAAGTTTAACTTCAGAGAAGTAATGTGACTTTCCTGAGGTCACACATCTATCAAATGTTAGAATTATGACTCAAATTCAGGTATATCCTGGCTATAATTCCTGCATTCTTTCCACTATAATATCACAAAGATAAATTAAAGGTTTCATGTAAAGCGGAAAGGAAGTTTCTAGTAGAGTGTCTAAGGGAACTCTCCTTGGTCTTTTTCTTTTAACTTTTTTTGGGGGGTGAGGCCATCAGGGTTAAGTGACTTGCCCAGGGTCACACAGCTAGTAAGTGTCGTGTCTGAGGCCATATTTGAACTCAGGTCTTCCTGACTCCAAGCCAGAGCTCTATCCACTTCACCACCTAGCTGCCACTCTTTTCAACATTTTCATTAATGACTTGGATGAAAGCATACATAGCACACTTATCAAGTTGCAAATGGCAGAAAGCTGGGAGCAATAGCCAATATGTTGGATGATAAAGTCAGAATTCTAAAGAAATGGGGGCAGGTAGGTGGCACAGTGCATAGAGCACCGACCCTGGATTCAGGAGGACCTGAGTTCAAATCTGGCCTCAGACACATAACACTTATTAGCTGTGTGACTCTCGGCAAGTCCCTTAACCCCATTGCCTAGCCAAATATTAAAAAAAAAAAAAGAATTCTAAAGAAACTGCAAAAATAAATGAGTTGACATGTGAAATCTCATAGGGATAAAGAAAAAATCCTGAATCTGGCTTTTGGAAAATCAGCTAACTACAGCAATATAAATGAAAAGAACCACTACAATACAATCAAAAGTGAATGTCACAATATTACAAAGGAAAAGCATGGCCTCTAAGAAGAGGCATGAGAAAACACTCCATTCTTTTGCAAAATGGAGAGGTCTGTGGGTATGGCAAGCGGTATATATCTTCAGACTTTTGCAACTGATCTTCAGTATATCAGCTGAAGAACTGCACAACTCTAGCCTGGGAAAAGAGAAAACTTAATTGGGAGATATAGCTGTCTTTAAGTATTGTAGAGCTGTCAGGTAGAATTGGACTTGTTTTCTTGGCCTTAAGAACAACAAATTGGATCAATATATAGAAATCACAAGGAGGCAGGGTGAAGTTGTGACCTAAGGAAAAAACTTCCTAATAACTAGAACTCCCCCAAATATGAATGGTCTGCCTTAGTGGATAGTGAATTCCAGCAAAGGTTGAATGAGACTTTGGCAAGGATGATCTTTTGTTTGGTCATTTCAGTCATGTCTGACTCTTTGTGACTCCAGCTGGTGTTTTCTTGGCAAAGATACTAGGATGGTTGGCCATTTTCTCCTCCAGTTCATTTTATAGGTAACAAAACTGAGGAAAATTGGGTTAAGTGACTTGCCCAGGGACACTTGGCTAGTAAGTGTCTGAAGCCAGATTTGAACTCAAGAAGAGGAATTTTCCTGATTTCAGGCCCAATACTCTATCCACTGTACCAACTAGCTGCCCTAAGCATCATCTAACTGGATACAATTTTTGGAAAGGGTTGGACTAGATGATTTCAAGTTCTCTCTAATTCTAAATTTCTGATTCTAGGTGAAGAATGTTTAAAAATACATTTGTGTAGGATTATTCATCTTGCAATTTAACTATATAATATTGCCACGAAGCATAAACTTAAACTTGGAAACAATTTTGTGAATTTTCATGGCTACGAGATTTCCCCAGAAAAAAAAAAGAAAAAAGAAATCACCTTGAGATTACAGAACACACCTTTTTTTCAAAAAGGTAGATGGCATTTTCCATTTCATAGTCAATAAGAAATGCCAACAGATGAGCATCATATTTTTTCCTTTGTTTTCTCTTACGGGGGACGCAACTTTCCCACTTAGAAAATGGAGGAGTACTATAGAAACAAATAGTCGGCTACAAAAAAAAAAAAAGAAATAAAAGTTAGAGATATAAGATGCCCTATTTGACATCACTGGCCTGATTGGCCTGTGAACTACACAATTGTTCTATTGTGTCCTGGTTTGATCTTAAAAACATGAGTTATTACTAAGCCTATTTGCAAACATGAAGCAAGTCTAATGAGTGTTGCAGACTATCTCATTCCATAATGGAAAAATTCATTTAATTAGTGTTTTATTAATATCTGGACACCTCTAGTTAGTGCTTTATTAACATCCTGACATATTCTTAACCTAATCAGTGCAAAATTTTCATAATTAGGAACAAAGAATGATAAGCTTTCTAATCAGGAAAACTGACATTTTTCTCAATTATAGGTTGCCTACTTTTTAAAAAGCATTCACAACCAAATTTCTTACCTTCTTTTAAGGTAATAGTTTACCTGACTCATGCTCCTACTTCTTTCAAAGATGATAGCAATGTAATCATCTGGAAAGCAGAAAGTGACAAATTATAGGTATAATCTACATTTATAAAGACTATACAGTTGAAGTAGTTAATGCACTTGGGATTATAATTTTTAAGCTTCAAAACCATCTTACAATATGTACTTATTAGTGAATATTATTCAAGACTTTAGATTTTGCCAAGTAGCTCAAGCATAGTAATACATCATTATTATGAACTCTTATTTTTATTTAGATTATAATATATATACAAATGTATTTGATAGAAATTTACCTTCAAAATCTTCTTGGTTAGCTAGACATATTTCATTATACCACAGTTTTGCTTTATAATAATCGTCCTATTGAAAACAAAAAGAGAATATATCTAGCAGCTATGACATAGATTTAAGAGACAAAACCTACAAAATTATTAAAAATCCTCCAAAGATTTGTTGAAGAATTGGGGTGAGTGGAGACAAAAAATAGACACAGAAAAGAAAAAAGTATAGAATCTGGAGAAGATGAAATAAAAAGCTGGAGGTGGAAGAGAGTAAATAAAGTAAGAGATTAAAATTAGTAAGACAGGTTTTGGGAATGGCCCATGCCTACACAACATTTTCTCGAGGCAACTAAAATCTACTGCTATTCAATGACTGACAAACTGGCTAAAAATATATCTTTTGTTCTTTATTTCTTTAAAGTATGGGCACCCCTACCCACATTCCTCAAATGCAGGGCAACTTGGTGAGCCTCAGGACCAATTTGATGTTAGTTTCACTTCAGGATTCTATTGAAAGCTCCTTTCAATAGAACAGTAGGCAAAGTAACTCTTTTTAGCTCCACCATGAATAATACTTGCATTTCCATTGTTTCTTGACGTTCCTCACAGCAGCCCTTCTAGATAGGGAGTACAATTATTATATTTACTTTATACATGAGAAAAAAAGAATCTGAGAAAGGCTGGGTAGCCTGCCCATGGTTTCACATGCTAATTAGTGTTATATGCAAGGCATTAATGTCATATTCAAGCCAAGGTCACCTGGCTATAAATCCTGCACGTGTTCCTCTGTCCTATGCTTCTTTGATTCCATGCAACATAAGTAATCTTTCCCTACTAATTGTGCGACCGTAGGCATGTCACTTAAACATCTTGAGCATCAGTTTCTTCATTTGTAAGATGGAAACAGTAATATTACCCTAGTCTCCTATATAATGGGCTTATATGGGTGAAATTAAATATATATGACCATACATTATCTATTTCTATAATACATAATATAAAATTATATCTATTATATATATATATACATAATATATATATATATATATATATATATACACACACACATATATATAATTTGATCCATATATACACACACATATAATTTTGGAGACAAAATGTACACAGAAAAGATAGTATGTTAAGAGCCTCCATATACAATACATACATCATGTATGTATTTTTTCTAGTTGTAGTTACATGTCTTTTTAATTTATTTTTGTAACTATCCCAATGCCTTTCCTAGCTTACCATAATTATTTGTTGATTGAGTAAATAAATGATGAATGACCTTTTGATCTCCAAATGAAAATATTGAAGGACACTAATAGAGGACATGGAGCTTAAAGAGCTTTAAAAATGGAACAAAAAATCTTCCTTGGATGCTGTGGACCCCTTGATAAAAGGCTCAGTGGTCCCTTGTACACCACTCACTTAATAATTATTATTCTATAGGAAGTGAGGGAGGGGTTGCATATCTGAGCATGTAATATCATCCTATATTATTGGGTAATTGCTATGTTACCAACTACAGGCAAAGTAATTTGGAGTACTTTGCAGGACATGTTTGAGTTTTATTTCCACCAGTTACTACCTGTGTGACACTGGATAAGTCACTCAACTTCTCTGAACCTCAGTATTCTTATCTATAAAATGGAGATGACAATATTTACCCTGCTACCTATCTCATATATTTGAGTAAAGTGCTTTGTAAATGTGAAGTGTTACATACATGTCAACTATTATCTATCACATGTTATTATAGAATGTTTTTATAATTTTATAATGGTACTAAATAGATGAGAGGAAGAAGAGTATAGTGTGCCTGGTTTCAGAGTCAAAAAGACCTGGGTTCAAGTCCAGCACTATGACCCATACTGTCTGGGTCACCCTGAGCAATATGCCTAATATCTCAATGCCCCAGGCAATTCACTGACTGAGCTAAGGAGCTAATTTGCATTCACAAGGAGCCCCAACTCAGGTAATCTAACTAAAAACAACAACAAAAAAATCTAAATACATTTTTTTAACAGTAGGTTTTTCTTGGGCCATTCATCTGTGACTGACATTAAGCTAGTTAAGATGGGGCTGGAAAATAGCAAAGAAGATATGCTTGACTGCTCCTGTCCTTTTCTGAACTCTAGAGTAGCCTAAATGTTTCTTTCCTCAATGTCTTTATGCCAAACCTAACTAGTAAGTAGACTGCATTAAAAAAAAAAAAACAGGATCAAGAATACTGGAACATGGGCATCTCTCTCAACTCATTAATGCAAAAGAGTTATAGCACATAGATCTTCAGAGTCTTTTAAAATTAGGAAGGTTAAGCTGAGGCAATGTAAATAAAACGACAATACTACCTAAATTAATACACTTATTCAGTGCCGTACCAATTAAATCATGTGGAGGAACAAAAAGATCAAGAATATCAAGAGAATCAATGAAAAGAAAAAGTGAGAAGGAAGAGGGTCTAATACTACCTAAACTCAAACCATACTACACAACTGTAATTGTCCAAAACAATTTGGTGCTTTGAAGGAAATAGAGAAGTTGATCTGGTTGGAATAGATTGGGTACACAATGTGCATAAGTAAATGAGCACAGTAATCTAGGAAAAAACCCAAAGATCCCAGTTACTGGGGCAAGAATAAGACATAATTCCTTGACAAAGGGTTGGGAATAAGCTCAAAAAGGGTACATGATTTAGATACAAAGAGTGACACTGAAGGACACAGAGCCAAGATGGCAGAGAAAATTGTTGGCAGGAAGTTGCCTGAGCTCTCCTCAATTTCCCTTGAAACAACTTTAAATCACGCCTCAAAACTAATTCTGGAGTGACAGAACCCACAAAAGGACAGGATGAAACCATTTTCCAGGCCAGGATAACTTAGAAGGACTATTGGAAAGGTGTGTCTTACTTGGGTAAAAGGGAAGCACAGCCCAGCACAGGCAGTATCTGTGCAAGCCTAGTCCCAAGACAGATCAGCAACTGAGGCCCTGGTCCTGGCTCAGCAGGCCAGAAGCACTGAAGGCCAGCTATAAGGCCTCTACCCCCAGCACAACAGGCCAGCCACCATCCCCAGTCTTCCCCACCTCCACATGCAAAACAAGCTAGCCACCAGGCCTGAATCCTCCTGCATGACAGGCTACCTGCCAGCTCCAGAGGCCTGGGTGCACGAGGCCTTCAGATCAAGAAGGTTCGGACCGTGCCTCCTCTACGCCTAGGAGAAGGGCTCAATTTTAAAAATAATGACATAGGCTGGAAATGAGCCAAAAAAAAAAAAGCCTGACCATAGAAAGCAACTATGGCAACAGGGAAGATCAAAACACAAACTCAGAAAAGGACAACAATGTCAAAACACCTACATGCAAAGCCTTAAAGAGAAATATGAATTGGCCTCAGGCCCAAAAAGTCCTCCTGGGAGAGCTCAAAAAGAATTTTAAAAATCAAGTGGGAGAGGTAGAATAAAAATTCAGGAAAGAAATGAGAGTTAGAGAAGAGAATCAGGAAAAAAAGTAGTCAATGGCTTTGGTAAAGGAAGCACAAAAAAATGGGAAAAGATGTACAAAAATCCACTGAAGAAAACAATTCCTTAAAGAGTACAAATGGCCAAATGGAAAAAGAGGTACAAAAGCTAACTGAAGAAAATAATTATATAAAAATGGGAATCGGAGAAATGGAATCTAATGACTCTAGGAGACATAAAGATCCAATCAAACAAAATCAAAAGAATGGAAAAATAGAAAAAAAGGTAAAATACTTCATTGGAAAAACAACTGACCTGGAAAACAGATTCAGGAGATATAATTTAATACTATTATTAAATTAAATTAGTTTAACTAATTAATTAATTAATTATTAAATTGTTAAATTAAATTATTAAAATAATTTAAGAATTATTAGATGGGGCAGCTAGGTGGCACAATGGATAGAGCACAGGCCCTGGAGTCAAGAGGACCTGAGTTCAAATCTGGGCTCACATACATAACACTCACTGGCTGTGTGACTCTGGGCAAGTCACTTAACCCCAATTGCCTCACCGGAAAAAAAAAAAATATATATATATATATATGTATGTGTGTGTATATTTATATATATATATGTGTGTGTGTGTGTGTGTGTGTGTATATATAAAGAATTATTGACTACTTGAAAGCCATGATTAAAAAAAAAGAGGCAAAAAGGACAAATTTTTAAGAAATTAGCAAGGAAAACTGCCTGATATCCTAGAACCAGATAGTAAAATAGAAATTGAAAGATCCATTGATCACCTCCTGAAAGAGATTCTCAAATGAAAAGTCCCAGGAGTATTATCAACAAATTCTGGAATTCTCAGGTCAAGGAGAAATTACTGTGAGCAGTCAGAAAGAAACAACTTGAATATCAAGGAATCTATCAGGATTATACAGGATTTAGCAGCTTCTATATTAAAGCATCATAGGGCTTAGAATATGATATTCCAGAAGCAAAGGAGCTGGGATTACAAACAAGAACCAACTATCAAGCAAAACTGAGAATAATCTTTCAGTAGAAAAAAATGGACATTCAACGAAATGGGAAACTTTTTTTTTTCAGTGAGGCAATTGGGGCTAGGTGACTTGCCCAGAGTCACACATCTAGGAAGTATTACACGTCTGAGGCTGGATTTGAACTCATGTTCTCCTGACTCCAGGGCTGGTGCTGTATCCATTGGGCCACCTAGCTGCCCCACAATGGGAGACTTTCAAGCTCTCCTCATGAAAAGACCAGAGCTGAACAGAAAATTTAATTTTCAAATATGAGACTCAAGAGAAGCATAAAAAGGTAAAGAGGAAAGAAAAATCAGAACTTATTTAATAAGGTTAAATTGTTTATATCTGTACATAGAGAGATAATATTTGTAACTCTTAAGAACTATGTCTTTAAACTACAGTCAGGATAACACAAGATTGAATAGTTTTGACATTAAAGGATTGGAGGGCTTGAAATAAAATATTCTAGATGGCAAAAGAGCTAGCATTTTAACCAAGAATCACCTAGCCAGAAAAACTAAGTATAGTCCTTCAAGGGAAAACATGGATATTCAATGAAATGGAAGACTTTCAAGAATTCTTGATGAAAAGACCAGAACTGAATAGAAGATTTGACTTTCAAATAGAAGACTCAAGAGAAACATACAAAATGGGGTAAATTATCTGGCATAAATGAAGCATGGAAGAGATTTTACAGTGGTGGGGAAGATGGGAGAAATGGAGGAAGAGCACATGAACCTTACCCTTATCAGAACTGGCTCATAGAATGCCATCTAAGGGAGGGGGAAAGGGAGAGAAGCAAAGAAAATTTAAAACTCGAAAGCTTATGGAAGTGAATGCTGAAAACTAAAAATAAATATTTTTTAAAAGAATTGGCTCATAAGAAGGAAAACTCCCAGAAGTATTATAGCCAAATTGCAGAGTTCCCAGATCAAGGAGAAAATATTGTAAGCAGCCAAAAAGAAATAATTCAAATGTGATGGAGCCAGAGTCAGGGTAACACAAAGATTTAGCAGCTTCTATATTAAAGGAGTACAAAAGAGCTAGGATTACAACCAAGAATCACCTACCCAGCAAAATTGAGTATAATCTTTCAAGGGAAAAATGGATATTCAATGAAATAGGGGGCTTTCAAGCATCCTGATGAAAATACCAGAGCTGAATAGAAATTTTGAACTTCAAATAAAAGATGCAAAAGAATCATAAAAAGGTAAACAGGAAAGACAAATCATAAGGGATCTGATATGGTGAAACTGTTTAAATTCTTACATGGGAAAATGATATTTATAACTCCTAAAAACCTTCTTACTATTAGGGCACTTAGAAGGAGTAAACAGAAAGCAGAAATGTGAGCTGAATATGATGGTATAATTATTTTTTAAAAATAAAACTAAAGGTTAAGAAAGAATGTACTCAGAGAAGGGGAAAGGAAGAGGTAAACTGGGATAAATTATCTGACATAAAAGAGGCCTGAAATAGATTTTATAGTGGAAGGGGAAATGGGGGAAGCAAGGAGGAGAGCACATGAACCTTACTCTTATTAGAATTGGCTCAAAGACAGAATAACATACACACTCAGTTGGATGTAGAAATATAACTTAGCATACAGCAAAGTAGAAAGGGAAGGGGATAAGAGAATTGGGGGCGGAGGGCAGAGCTGACAGAAGGGAGGGCAGTTTGGGGGTGGTAAAAGTCAGAAGCAAAACACTTTCGAGAATAGACATGTAAAAAGAGAGTGAGAATAGGATAAATGGGGAAAATAGAATGGAAGGAAATACATAGTTGGCAATTATTACTGTGAAAAAAATTTCTACAGTGAGTTTCTCTGATAAAGATTTCATTTCTCAAACATATAGAAAACTGAGTCAAATTTACAGAAATAAGAGCCATTCTTCAATTGATAAATGGTCAAAAGACATGAACAGGAAGTTTTCAGACAAAATAATCAAAGCTATTGACAACCAGAACAGAACCAGCCTCTAACCTATAGGTGGTAGGAGTTGGACAGAGCAGGCTAGAGACAAGAAAGTCAGGACAAAAATACAAGTTTAATTTCAAAGTGAGGAAATGCTTGAGGTATTTCAGCTTCCAGGAGCCAGGATGGCTGAGTAAGAAGTAAGTCACTCTCACCCTCCCTTATTGACCTCTGAAAGCCCAGAAAGTATCATCTCAGGAAAAACCCTGGAATAGCTGAACCAGCAGAAAGACGAGGTACAGCAGTCTTGTAGCCCAGCAAGCTTAGGGGATTAACATTAAAGGCCCCTCTTGCTCTGGGAGAGGGATATAGTACAGAATGGGAGATATTCCAGCAAGCTAGTGGAAAGCCCCACCTCAGCATACCAGGGGGACTATTACTAATTGCATAAAAAATGCTCTAAATCACTAATAAGTAGAGAAATACAAATTAAAACAACTCAGAGGTACCTTCTCAAACACATCTGATTGGTTAAGATGACAAAAAGAAAATGAAAATGACAAATCATAGAGACGATGGGGGGAGGATGGATACAGCAACGTGCTATTGGTAGAATTGTAAACTGGTCCAACCATTTTAGAAAGAAGTTTAAAACTATCCCGAAAAGCTATTAATCTGCACATGCCTTTTGGCCCAGCATTACCAGGTCTATATACAAAGAAATCAAAGAAAGAAGAAAAGGACTCATGTACAAAGATATTTATAGCAGCTCATTTCATAGCAAAGAATAGGAAACTGAGAAAGTGTTCATCAGTTGAGGAATGGCTGAACAAGGTCAGGTATCTGAATGTGATGGAATACTGTTGTTCTATAAGAAATGATAAAGGGAATGGTTTCAGAAAAACCTAATGAAACTTGTACAAACCGCTATAAATTGAAGTGAGCAAAATGAAGAAACCAGTAAATACAGTACCAGACCTGAAGACTCATCTGTCTGAGTTCAAATCTAGCCTCAAACACTTACTGGCAGTGTGATACTGGACAAGTCACTTCACTCTGTTTGCCTCAGTTTCCTCACCTGTAAAATGAGCTGGAGAAGGAAACAGCAAACCACTCCAGTATCTTTCCCAAGAAAACCCAAATGGGGCCACAGAGAGTCGGACGTGACTGAAAAATGACTAAATAAATAAAAATCAATATATCAAGATAATCCACTTCAAAAGACTTACTAACCGATCAGCACAATGATCAACCACAATTTCAAACGATTCACAATGAAATATACTCTCCACTTCCAAACAGAGACCTGACAGCCTCAGAGCACAAATCAAAGCATATTATCTTTCTCTTTCTTTCTTTTGTTTTTGAAAATATTTCGTTTGTATGACTATATGTATTTGCAATAGGCTTTGTTTTTCTCACCTTCTTAACAAGTAAAGGAAGTGAGAATTCAGAATTCAAAAGAATAAGTCATCCTCTTAATACCAGAAATGCCTATATCGAAAAGGACACACACGAAGGCTGTGGTTAGGAAAACTGCTTCTATTAAAAATGTGCCTGTCAGTGAGATCACTTCATTTGCAGGAAACCACTTTTATTGTTTGTGTGAAGAAACAAAGCCTACTACCTATTTTGTAGGAATTCTCTGCTAAAGTGAAAAAGAAGGATATTCTATTCCTACCTTCTTTGCCTCACCACATATTGCCAGAAATTCTTTGCTATCTGGCCTCTGCTACTTCAAGAAGGAAAGGAAAGGAAAGAACTTTAGGCTTATTTTGTTGTTCTCTCACATCTGACTCTTCATGACCCCAATTTGTGGTTTTCTTGGCAAAGATACTGGAATGGTTTGCTATTTCCTCCTCTAGCTTATTTTCACAGATGAGTAAATTGAGGCAAACAGTGACTTGACTGAGGTCACACAGCTAGTGTCTGAGGCCAGATTTGACCTCAAGAAGATGAGCCTTCCTGACTCCAGGCCCAGCACTCTATCCACTGTGCCACCTAGCCATTTCTTCAGGCTTGTAGAATCCCAGAAAGTTAGATCTAAGAGCTTACTTTTTCCCCATCCCAGCCTCCCTTTACAAATGAAGAACCTGGAGAGGTTAAATAACTTGATCAAGATCACACAACTAGTTAGTAGCAGAAGAAGACCCAGACCTCAAATAAACCAAGTCTTAGCCTAGTGTTTCTTTCATCATTGAATCCAGTGATCCTTTTCTCTGTTCTTATGCTCACTGTCATCTCTGCAGCATTTGCCACTGTGGGGCAATCGCTCTCATGTAAATCTCTCAAGCCTTGGTCTCCCAGACAATTCAGTGACCAGAATGCAGTTACCAGCCTAATCTTCCTAAAAGAGAGCTTTCATCATGTCATTCCCCTGGAGAAGAGCTGATAATAACGCCCCATTACCTATCAGATCAAGGTTAAGTTGTGCAGTTAGATATAGCTGTGTATAAAATACTAGGCCTGATTTCGGGAGGACATGAGTTCAAATACTGATGCTGTAAACTTTACTAGTTGTTGGACCCTGGGAAGTCACTTAATTTCTCAGCTTCAATTTTTCCATATGTAAAATGAAGATAACAATAGCCCCTATTTCACAGGATGTGAGGATCAAGTGAGATAAATGTAAAGTGCTTTGCCAGCCTTAAAGTGCTATATAAATGCTAGCTATTATTAGTATTAGTACTATCATCATAATTACTATTATCCTTCCTATTCAACTTGCCAGGAGGATCATATCCTGACTTACCTTCCTGTTCCCTCACGTTGATTCCTGCTTATTTTCTCATGCTATTCTCCATACCTGGAATGCTCTTCTCCCTCCTTCCCACTGATCCAAATCCTAGCAGTACTTTAAGACACGATTTCACACCTCAAGTTTGCTACAACTTGTGATCCCTGTATCTTGCAACTTATCCTTTACACTTATTACCTGCTTGTGCCTTCTGGAATTGATTTTTTTTTCTTTAAAATTTAAATTGTCAAATGTATTACTCTCAGGTTTATAAAACAAATCCCAACCTATCTCCCCTACCCAGATTCCATTTTCCAGGCCTAGGAATTTATGATGTCTTACCGTATTATAACCACAAAACTCCATTCTTTCAAACTAGAAGTGAAAAGAAAAGATAAAAGATGATAATAAAACTGACTGTGAAAGGAAGCAATGAGACAAAGTGGGTTTAAATTGCAACAGAGATAAAGACATGATCAACCTGGCATTGAGGTTTGTCAGACACTGGAGTTGGTTTCTGAAATAACTATACATGCTACAGAATTTCAATCTTCTAATTTTACCCCACCACCTATGAGGATTAGTGAGGAAAATTATTGAAAACCTGCCCTTCCAGGTGCACCTAGAGAATCTTTCTTCTTCCCAACTCTTCTCTAATTGTGTTACTTTAATGCAGGCCTGCACACAGGCCAGTTGTAGCCCCCCAAAGGATTTTGGACAGCCTGGGGAAATTGTAGAAGATATAAAAGAAAGCAAAGAGTTAATGAGTGCTTTGTCCAGGCCCTGCTTTAACCCGCCTTCCACTAGGCACTACTGTGACAGTCATGTAACTTGGTGGGTGGGTTGCCACTGCTCACTGTCTCTGATTTGTCTCATGACCACAACCAACCATTGTCAGTCTGTTTCTAGTCTGAGAGGAGTGATTTCACGATCAATAAAAATCTTAAGTAATAAGTGTAATTAATTGATATTAATTAAAATTTTCCTCTTTTAATATGGTTTATTTGCAAAACAGTTTCATCATGAATTATACCTTTACTTAGAAAGTGAGCCACTAAAAACGTATCTACAGCCCAAAGAAGTTTAGCCTATTTTAATTTTGGCCCCTACTTACTGCTACTGTCCTTCCACCGCTTAACCTTCTTCCCCAAACCTCAGGATGTATAATCACCCCAGATTTCATACTTTCTAACTCTGAAATGACAATTTTTTTCTTTCTTTGCCTCCATACTCCTTATGAGAAATACCTGAATAACACCATCAGAAGAATCACAGAATCTAAAAAGGAAGGGACCTCAATGGCAATTTAGGCTAATTAGTGTATGATTAAGACCCTATTCCCCCACTTCAACAACAACAACAACAACACCACAAACATTCTCAGCAAATAAGCAAAAAGCCTCCAAGTAAAGACCACTGGCAATTGGAAACTTAACTGTCTATTCCACTTTAAGGAAGTTCTGATTACCCTACTATAAGGAAGATTTTCCTTATATCCAGCTAAAATTTGCCTTTTTTCTTAGCTTTTTCTCATATTTCTAGTTTCTAAGGCCAAAGAAAATTAGTCTAATCCTCCTTCCACATGATAGCTTTTAAAATCCTTGAGGCCAGCAATCACATAATGCCTTAGTCTTCTATTTTCCATGCTAATCACCTCTATGTCCTTCAACTAGTTTTTCCCATAACATTACTCCTACATTTTTTCCCTTACTCTCTATTTTACTCCTTGTAGGCCTCAGCTTTGCATTCTGACATGATGATGTTTGATATATGTGTTATGTAGTGTCTCAGAGCAAAACTGTCTTCTCACTCTTTCAAAAAATATCTGTAAAGATGACAAAAATAAAGTCAGTTATTCCTCATAAAATAAGCCTGCCCAAACAAAATCCCACCAACATTCAGAATTAAAATATTTAAAGTTCTCCTTCTATACAACGTTGACCTTTTAAGTGAGTGGGCATGCTTTATTTTGTCATTTTTACTGATATATTTTGTTTTCACATCATCTACATTTCTTAATATATCTTTCTCCCCTACCCCTCTCAGAGAGTCATCCCTCATAACAAACAATAAAAAAAGGAAAGGAAAAAGTTCAGCCAAGTTAAATATCGGTCAAGTCATCAGTATATGCAGCATTCAAAAGTCATAGTCTCTATATCTTTATAAAGAAGAGTGGAGAAGTATTCTCATATTTTTTTTCTTTGGGGCTAAACTTGATCATTATAATTGCATTGGAAACAACTTTATTCTATTGTTTTTCTTTCCATTTATTTGGTAGTCCTTGTGCATGTTGTTTTTCTGCTTTGGCTTGCTTCCCTTTGTGTGAGTTCTTGTAAACTTTTCTGTACTTCTCTCTCCCTTCCTCATATTCATCATTTCATGCAACGCAATAGTATCCCACTACATTCATATGCCACAATTTGTTTAGCCATCCCCCAGTGAATGGAAATCCACTTTGTTTCTAGTTCTTTGTTACTGTAAGAAGTGCAGTTATAAATATTCTGTCCTATGTAGAGCCTTTATTTTTAGTATTAACTTCATTGGGGTATATACTTAGCAGTGGGGTCTTGAGCTCAAAGAGTACAGATATTTTATTCATTTAGCCGGACAACTCCAGAGCACCTTTCCATAATGAATCCAACATTGACCCTTCTCATCTTTTGTCATTTCTGTTAGTTTCCTAGGCATGAAGTTGATCCTCAGAGTCATTTTGATTGGGCAAGAACATTTTATAAAGAACAGTTATTACCATTATTTTCATCAGCTAGGCTGACTCTATCCACAAGAAATAGAAATGTCTATATACCTTCATAGATGTTTCTCGTGGGGCCTCTATTTTGTGGAGGGGCTCAAGTTGGCCTTTATTCCTTTTCCTGCCCTGTTATTGATTTCTGGACTTTTAAACCTGGTTTCTGGACTTTTCAATGAACTTCCCTGAGCACCTGGGCCTCCTCGCCTTGAAAAATATAATTGCTTGGGTGGGCTTCTCAATCTGGAACATATCCCTCTCTATGGCCCACGCTCTGTTGTCATTGGTGAATTCCTCCTAAGGCCTCCATTTTGTAGAGCAGCCCAACCTAGTCTTGCTTCCCTTTCCAGTCCTGTTCCTAGCTACCAAACTTCAAAATCACGTTTTCACACTTGGTACCTCAATTTCCCACTGCTCCCTTCTAGGCTTTTCAGCTCTTTTTTGTGTGGTATCTGCTCAGAATAGGTGAGCTTTACTTGTATTTATATCCCTAGCACTTAGCGTAGTAGCTGGTACTTAGAAACTGCTTAATGTAAATGTACATTTCTTTCCTTTGTTCCTTGCTTCCTTCTCAAAGGTCTATTTACTTGATGCCAAGGTTATGTCTAAGACACATAGCTACAGACATGAAACACCTACCTTTAAAGTATCATTTGGGTAACGAATATCTGAACTTATAAAAAGGCCCATTGTTGAAAGGACCACTAAATGATAATTTGTTAAGATAAGGTCCACAAGCATAGATTTTTGGCACTCTAAAGAAGGAAAAATAACAAGACATCATTATAAGTTCATTTATGAATTGAAAGCACAATCACAGCGATCAGGATCAACATAAGTTATTTTCATAGCTTTGTTTTCTCTTCATGATATAGATGAGGAGAGATTATAATTGGGTAAATGTGACTTAGTTGTGTTGGCACAGTGCAATCCTGGGAATTAAAAACTCTTGGTTCCTAAACCTAATGTGACTGATTTGCCAATGAGCCTTCAGGGAGCTACAATGTCTCCAGTACTTTATTTCCTGTTTCTTCCCTTGTGACATTATGGAGCAATAACCCACTCAAGCATGCTATGAGACTTCAAAAGTCCTTGGGATTCTATACTTATCAACAGAGTTGAGTTGGAACTTAGAAAACAATTAACTCAAACTTCTCATTTTACAAGTGAAGAATCTAGAGTTTCAGGAAAGGATTTGCCTAATGTGCTATCAAGAGGTGGGAATAGAAGTGCTACCAATGAAATCTTTTGGCCAAAAAAGTTACCGTAATCATCCTGGAGAATGCAGATACTATTTGTGACATCATACCAAAGAGTTTCATCATTGTCCCAAAATCCAGAATAAGTCACACCAAAGAAATATCCTAAAAAAGAAATGCAAAATAAAGCTTTAAATGGGGGTAAATACAATTGGGGCAGCTAGGTGGCACAGAAGCTAAGAGCACTGGCCCTGGGCTCAGGAAAACCTTAGTTCAAATCCAGCCTCAGACACTTCCTAACTGTGTGAGCCTGGTCAGGTCACTTAACCCTATTTACTTCAATGTCCTCATCTGTAAAATGAGCTGGAAAAGAAAATGGTAACCCACTCCAGCATCTTTGCCAAGAAAACCCCAAATGGAGTCACAAAGAGTTGGATACAACTAATCAACTAAACAGCAACAACAATAAACACAAGAAAAATAAATATAAAGGCCCAAGATCAAACAATTCTTAAAAGATCTTAAGCAAATTCTATAGTGTCTGGCCAGCAGGCAAAACATTTTTGAGGCTACTACATACTGCTCTTCATCTTTATCACATCTCTCACAAACTAAAAAACACATTATTTTAATTGGTCAAATATAATACAAGGCCTCAGAACAAACACTTGATCGAATTTCTGGTCTAGTTAACACTGGGAAGAATATAAGAGAAGCTCACATTTCTATAGCATTATTTTTTAGTTAATTTATTTATTTTTAGTTTTCAACATTCACTTCCACAAGATTTTGAGTTTCAAATTTTCTCCCCATCTCTCCCCTCCCCCCACCCCAAGATGGCATGCATTCTGAACACTCCTTCCCCTGATCTGCCCTGTCTTCTATCACCCCCCCATCTCTCATTCTATTTTTCTGTAGGGCAGGATAGATTTCTATACCCCACTGCCTGTATATCTTATTTCCTAATTGCATGTAAAAACTATTTTTAACATTTGTTTTTAAAACTTTGGGTTCCAAATTCTCTCCCTTCCTCCATGCCCACCTATCCTCATTGAGAAGGCAAGCAACTCAATGCAGGTTATTCATGTGTAGTCATGTAAAACACTTCTATAATAGCCAAGTTGTAAAAAAACTAATTATATTTCCCTTCATCCTATCCTATTTATTCTATTCTCTCCTTTGACCCTGTCTCTCCTCAAAAGTGTTTGCTTCTGATTACCCCCTTCCCTAATCTGTCCTCCCTTCTATCATCTCCCCTTTCTTATCCCCTTCCCCCCCCATTTTCCTGTAGGTTGAGATAGATTTCCATACCCAATCAAATGTGTATATTATTCCTTCATTAAGCCAAATGCAATGACAGTAAGATTCATTCATTCCCTCTCACTTTCCTCCACCCCCGCTTCTCCTCCATGGTAAAAGCTTTTGCCTCTTTCTTTTATGTGAGATAATTTACCCCATGCTAACTCTCCCTTTCTCCTTCTCCCAGCACAATCCTCTCTCACTGTTTAACTTTATTTTTTAGGTATCATCCCTTCATCTTCAATTCATCCTATGCCCTCTGTCTATATATATATATATATATATATACCCTCCAACTGCCCTAATACTGAAAAAGATCTCATGTGTTACAAATATCATCTTTCCATGTAGGAATGTAAATCGTTCAACTTTAATAAGTCCTTTATGATTTCTCTTTCCTTTTTACCTTTTTATACTTCTCTTAAGTCTTGTATTTGAAAGTCAAATTTTCTATTCAGCTCTGATTTTTTCATCAAGAATGCTTCAAAGTCCTCTATTTCACTGAATCTCCATTTTTCCCCTGAATGATTATACTCAGTTTTGCTGGGTAGGAGATTCTTGGTTTTAATCCTAGCTCCTTTGACCTCTGGAATATCATGATCCCTTAATGTAGAAGCTGCTAGATCTTGTGTTATCCTGATTGTGTTTCCGCAGTACTGGCTGCTTACAATATTTTCTCCTTGACCTGAGAATTCTGGAATTTGGCTACAATATTCCTAGGAGTTTTCCTTTAGGGATCTTTTTCAGGATGTGATCAGTGGATTATTTCTATTTCTTTTTTACTCTCTGGTTTTAGAATATCAGGGCAGTTTTCCTTGATAATTTCTTGAAAGATGATGTCTAAGCTCTTTTTTTTTTGATCATGGCTTTCAGGTAGTCCAATAATTTTTAAATGATCTCTCCTGGACCTATTTTCCAGGTCGGTTATTTTTCAAAATGAGATATTTCACATTGTTTTCTATTTTTCATTCTTTTGGTTTTGTTTTACAATGTCTTGATTTCTCATAAAGTCATTAGCTCCCATTTGCTCCATTCTAATTTTTAGGGAATTACTTTCTTCAGTTGTGAAATGATTCAACCATTTTGGAGAGCAATTTGAAACTATACACAAAGGGCTACAAAAATGTGTATACCCTTTCACCTAGCAATAGCACTTCTAGGGCTGTATCCCAAAGAGATCATACAAATGGGAAAAGGACTCACATGTACAAAAATATTTATAGCAGCTCTTTTTGTGGTGGCAAAGAATTGGAAATTGAGAGGATGTCTATCATTTAGGGAATGGCTGAACAAGTTGTGGCATATGAATGTAATGGAATACTATCATGCTATAATGAATGATGAACAGGCTGACTTCAGAAAAACCTGGAAAGACTTGTATGGTCTGATGCTGAATGAAATGAGCAGAAGCAGGAGAATGTTGTATACAGTAACAGCCACTTTGAGTGATGATTAATATTGATAGACTTAACCCTTCTCAACAATACAAGCATCTAAGACGTCTCCAAAGGCCTCAGGAAGGAAAATGCTATCCACATACAAAGAAAGAACTATGGAGTTTGAATGCAGATCAAAGCATATTATTTGCTTTTTTTTTCTTCTGTTGTGTTTTGTTTCCTCTTTCTGGTGGTTCCTCCTATTGGTTCTAATTCTTACTTACAACATCACTAATGTGAAAATATGTTTAATAGGAATGTATATGTATAGCCTATATCAGATTGCGTGCTGTCTTGGGGAGGGAAATGGGGAGAGAGGGGGAGAAAAATTTAAAACTCGAAAGCTTATGGAAGTGATTGTTGATAACTCAAAATAAATTAATTTTAAAAAGGAATTACTTTCTTCAGTGAGCTTTTGGACCTTCTTTTCCATTTGGCCAATTCTGCTTCTTAAGGCATTCTTCTCCGCATTGGCTTTTTGGACCTCTTTTGCCATTTGGGTTAGTCTATTTTTTTAAGGTGTTATTTTCTTCAGTGTTTTTTTGAGGTCTACTTTAGCAAGTTGTTGACTTGTTTTTCATGATTTTCTTGCATCACTCTCATTTCTCTTCCCAGTTTTTCCTCTACTTCTTTTACTTGCTTCTCAAAATCCTTTTTAAGCTCTTCTATGGTCTGGGACCAATTCATATTTTTCTTGGAGGCTTTCGATGTAAGAACTTTGACTTTGTTGTCTTCTTCTGGTTATATGTTTTGATCTTCTTTGTCCCCAAAGTAAGATTCTATGGTCTGACTTTTGTGCTGTTTGCTCATGTTCCCAGCCAATTACTTGACTTTTTAACTCTGTTAAGGTGGGACTCTGCTTCCAGTGTGGAGGGTGTACGGTCCCAAGCTTCAGAGGTCTTGTGCAGCTGTTTTCAGAGGTACTTCCAGGGACCTGTAAATTTTCAGTTCTTCCCAGGTGATATGATCAAAGAAGAGGTGTTTACTCCTTTCCTGGACTCTGCTGTGGTCTATGAGTGACCACAAGCACTCTTTTCTGCCTTGGAACTGTGAGAAGGATTCTCTCTTCACTACCACCACAAGCTGTGCTACACCAGAGCTCCACTTTGCCACAGGACTGCCACCCAGGACTGCAACTCAGATCAAAGCATGGGAAAAGCAACAGAATCCTGCCTCAGCACCAGCAAAGAGATGCTTGCAATCCCCCCTCCGATCAGCCACTCAATCCCCACACCATCTATGGTCCAAGAACTCCAAAAGCAGCCATCGCCCTGGGGCTGTACCAGGACTAGAGACAGACCATGTTCCTTTCTCACCCAGGTCCAACAGACCTTTCCTACTGACCTTCTAAGTTGTCTTTGGTGCTTGTAAGTTGAGACATCTGAAAACTTCCACAACTCCCCTTGATTCAGTCCCTTTAGGCCTGCTCTAGGTTTGCTGAGGCCTGGTCTTTGCCTACATGGCCCACGCTGAACTGAGTTCCTCCCCTAACCCGGCACAACAGACCTTTCTCAACAACCATCCAGGTTGTCTTGGGCTGGAAATTTGTTTCACTCTATCTTTTTTGTGGATTCTACTGCTCTAGAATTTCTTTAGAGTCATTTTTTACAGGTATTTGGAGGGGTTTGGGAGAGAGTTCTAGCAAGTCACTGCTTTTACTCCGCCATCTTGGCTCCAACCCCCCATTGTTTTGCTTTGGTTTTTTTCATAAAGCACTTTGCTCACAGTGATCCTTACTGCTGTGGAGCCTATAAAAGCATTATCGACCCATTTCAATGAGATGAGAAAATCAAGTGTCAGAGTCAAACAGTTTAAGTAAAAAGCCATCACAAAGCTTAAATTCTGCTCATTTTCAAGCTAAATACCAGCTATTAGAAAGATATATTACATAATAACAAACTCATACACAGTAGCCAAACCATGAAAATAATCATTTGAGTGGCATAACATCTGAACTCCTTCTATAAAGAAAACATAACACCCATAGGAACAAACATATGTGTACTCACAACACCTACAAACTTGTTTCACGAGACTGATGCATAACCAAGGCACTCATACACCTAGTATCATTAATTATGAAAGATAAGTTAAATATATAAATACATAATTATATATATACATATGTGTGTGTACACACACATATATTTGTTTGTATGTTTATTTGCATACTTTCCCCCATTAACAGTGATGTCCTCCATGGCAGGGTTTGTCTTTTGCCTTTTTTTTGTGTGTGTCTCCAGTGCTTAGCACAGTACCTGGCACATAGTAGATTAAAAGATGTTTATTGACTGATAAGATAAATAAAGGAACAAAGAGGGAAGGAATAGACCCTTAAACTGGTTGTGATAATATCTTCTCAGTAGCATGGAACAAAAAAGTAGTTTGTTTTCACTTCTACCAGGTATTGAACCATCTCAATTTCAGAGC